ATTTAGTCCAGCTTCTAGGATTATCTGCTCAGTACAGATTGAATAACGATGGTGAAAGGATACAACCACAACATACACTATTCCTCATTTTAAACCACACAGTATCCCTTTGTTCTGTTCAAAAGGTAATAAATAATTTGTGTTGTTTTAGGTCACTAAATTTGATTATTCAATTTTAAGTCATTAAATTTATAGTAGGTTGTTTTGCTTCTTAGTTTATGTGCAGGTGTCCACATGAGCACAATTAAGAATTAAGTGTTCTAGAATGCCCATTCTGCACAATGTTATCCACAACTTGTTATAATCCACACAATGAAATGCCTCTGCATAATCAATTAAACAGGTAAATATATTCCTAGTTGTCTTTGCTTTCAGCCAAGATTCATCTGACATCGGCAATTATATCTCTCATTCCACATACTCCTCTGAACCTGGCTTGAATGTTTGGTATTTACCTGTCAATCTACTCCTGCAATGGTTTTTTAATTATCTCAGCAAAATTTTACTTCATGTGATAATGAGATACTACTACACACCTAGTAGAATGGCTAGAAACACATATACAAAAAAAACTGATAATACCAAGTGTTGATGAGGATGTGAAGTAACTCAAACTCCCATACTTTGCTAGTGGACATGCAAAGTGGTACAGCCACTTTGGAAAACAGCTTGCAGTCTACTGGTTCCCTATGCTGCTTTAACAAATCACTATAAAGTTAGTGACTTAAAACAACACAAATTTATTACCTTACACTTCAATAGGTTAGAAATATGCCCCTAGTCTTACTGGAATAAAATTAAGGTATTGGCAGGGATATGTTCCTCTCTGGAGGTTCTATGAGTAGATACATTTCCTTGACTTTTTCATCTTCTGGAGGACACTCACATTCCTACCACTATCTTGAAATCTAGCAACACTGCATCTCTCTGACTCAACTTTTTTGGATTCTATACTTCTACCTAGGAGCTCTGGTAGCGTAGTGGCTAAGCCACTTGACTGCTAACCAGGAGGCTGGCGGTTCAAACCCACCAGCCACTCCTTGGAAGGAAGATGAGGCAATCTACTTCCGTAGTGATATTGCCTAGGAAACCCAAGGAGGGGTCACTATGAGTCGGGTCTGACTCGATGGCACATAACAACAACATACTTCTACCTACCTCTTCCTCTTTTAAGGGCCCTTACAACTACACTGAGCCAACCAAATAATCCAAGATAATCTCCCTATTTTAAAGTCACTTGATGAGCAACCTTAATCCCATCTGCAACCCTGCTGTACAATCTAACATGTTCACAGGTTCTAGAGAGCAATATTTCTTCAGGGGCCATCATTCTGCCTACCACAGATAGTTCCTTTTCTTTTTTTTTTAATTAAGTTAATATACACTTACCAAATGACTCAGCAATCCCCTTCTAGGTGCTTACCCAAGAGAAATGAGAATTTATGTTCACACAAAAAAACCTATTCACAAAGGTTTGCAACAGTTCTACTCATAATCACAAAAAAACTGAAAACAACTCAAATGTCCTTTAATCAGTGAACAGATAAACTGTGGTATATCCATACAGTAGAATACCATATTCAGCAAAAGAACAGAAAGAACTGCTGATAACACTCAACAACATGGTAAATTTCAAATGTATTATGCTAAGTGAAAGAAAGCAGGTTCAAAAGGCTACCTACTATATGGTTCCATTTATATGGTCTTCCAGAAGACAGAACTATAGGGAAAAACAAGAAGCTCCAGTGGCATAGTGCCTAAGGCATCTGACTGCTCACAGAGCGTTGGCAGTTCATACCCACCAGCCACTCCGCGGAAGGAAGACAGGCCAATCTACTGCCTCAGAAACCCAATGGGGGTCGCTATCAGTCGGAATCGACTCAACGTCGGTGGTTTTGGTTTTATAGGGAAAGACAACAGATCACTGGTTACTAGGGGCTGGAGGGAGGCTGACATAAAAGGGCAGAAAAAGGGAATTTTGGGTGGTGGAACAATTCCTTATCTTCACTGTGGTGGTTGTACAGGCAGGCCTTATAAATCTGTCAAAATAGCTGTACACCAAAAAGAGTTTATTTTATTTCATATAAATTAAAGATAATGTTAAAATCTTTTTTAAAGGACGGAATCAAATATATCTTCTCACCCAACAATTGGCAGGTATTTTAAAAATCTGATAATGTCATGTGTGGATAAGGATGAGAAATCACTGAAACTCAAACCATTGGCAGGAGTGTAAACTGGTACAATTTTAGAAGATCATTTGGCTGCAGCTAGTAAAGTTGAAGATGCACATCTAACTGTGACCCAAAAATTCATCTGACTGGTAGGTATACATTCTAGGGAAATCTTCATGCCTGTGCTCAAGTAGACATGCACAAGGTTGTTCATTAAATATGGTCTGAAAAACTGAAAACCATCTTCCAGTAGTGGAATGAATAATTTGTGGTTCCAAACCAAACCAAACACACTGCCGTCGAGTCAGATCCAACCTATAGTGACTCCTCCTTGGATTTCCGAGGCAGTAACACTACGGAAGTAGATTGCCCAACCTTCCTTCCGAGGAGTGGCTGGTGGGTTTGAACCACCAGCCTTCTGGTTACCGTTCAAATGCCTTAGGCACTACGCTACCAGAGCTCCTAAATTATGATTGCTGGTGGTGGTGTTATGTGCCGTCAAGTCGGACACGACTCACAGCAACCCCTCCTTGGGTGTCTGAGAAAGTATCACCACGGAAGTAGATTGCCCCATCTTCCTTCCGAGGAGTGGCTGATGGGTTTGAATCGCCAGCCTTCTGGTTAGCAGTCAAGTGCCTTAGCCACTATGCTACCAGAGCTCCCAAATTGTGGTTAATGGTTATTAAAAAGAAGAAAAATTTTGAATAAGGGAAAGAAACAACCCTACCAATTTCATATATGAGTTTGAGAAAGGTAACTTAATGGCTTATTAATAATAGGATATAGTAAAAAGGGCATTGGACTTGGTATCTGGAGACAGTATTTTACCATTTATTTCCAACTCTGCCACTATCAGTCATACTATGTGCTACTTAATTTCTACAAGCCTCACTTTCTTTTTCTGGAAGTAAAGAGAATAGGTAATATAATCACTAAGGTTATTTCCAAATTAAGTTGGAAATAAGTATATAAGTTGACTAAGTATGTAATAAAAAATTGTGTTTCAGGGCACCTATCAACGTTCAGAAACGATTTTTCCCACACACACCAAAATCAGAAAATATCAGAGAATTTGGGCAACTTAGTGTATCAACACGTAAAGGGACCAAATTTCTTGATAGGTCCGTGATGAGATTTTTAATCAAGATGGTAATTCACAAAGAACATACAAATATTACAAAACAAAGTCAGCTAAACCACCCATATACCGACTCAGGTGAACTGATACACTATTTTAGGGAGCTCTGAAGCTCTGGAAGCATAGTGCCTGAGACATCTGACTGCTAACCAGAAGACTGGCAGTTCAAAGCCACCAGCCAGCCACTCCTCGGTTGGAAGACTGGGCAATCTACTTCTGTAGAGATACCACCTCCGAAACCCAAGGAGAGGTCATTATGAGTTGGAATAGACTCGAGGACAGTGAGTTTGATTTGGTTTGGTTTTATAACAAGTTAAATTATTATGAGTTTATCTTTACTTGTCAAGTCCAAATCTGCTTAGCCAAAAGTCACTCAAGTACATGGTAAGATTTACTTTTTTTTTTTTACAAAGATAAAATATTGAATTGCTTTTTCTACTTTTGCTTTTTTATCTCTGACGCTTTTACATTGTTATCTAATAGCTTCAGCCTACTACAGAGAGCCTTTTGAAACTTGAAATATGCTAAGCCCGTAACTAGTAAAAAAGCAGTTCATAAGGTTTATTTCAATATATTTCAAAGACACCAATGACCAACATTTCGTTTGTTCTCACTGCAGAATTTAATAGGTAATTAACTTCTAGTATAACCTAAAATGCATAATTAGAATACTGTCATTAAAACTTAGGATATATATAACCCAAAAGCATAATAGCATACTATCATTAATACCACTATGAGTCGGAGTTGACTGGAAGGCATCTCTTTTTTTAGTCATTAATATCACAAAAAGCAACACCATGTCAGTCAAATTTCAAAATTCTTACTCCACAAGTTTTCTAAAACTAAATTCTTACAATTCTAAACGAGTACGGAGACAAAACACACACAACCACTATTGCTAAAAACCTCCTACCGATCAATTTAATTTTATCGTAAAATGCCACGAAAAATCTTTAGACCGAAACCTATATTCCGTATTCATTACTGTCTGTCGATCTACTTAACAGGTGAGTTATTATAATTTCGAAGTTACATAATTTGTTCCAAAGACTGTTTAAAGAACCTTTCACTAAATGCAGCTTACAACAATTTAGAGCTTCAAAGTTCACCTTGCAATCTCAAAGTATCAGAAACCATTAATCATTAGGCTTTTTCAAAAAGTGATCACAAGGAAGCAAGGAGCTATTTGTTTAAGGAATGCAGTGAGCGGCCGAATACCAGGAGCTGAGTCAGGCAGAGGAAAGCTGACTACATTCCGTCTTTTAAAGGAAAGAGTCCCCCCCGCCGAAATCCCCGGCCCGGCCAGCCAGGAGGGATTCCTAGGAGCAGCGAACTCAGAGGCTGGGACGCAAAGGGCAGGCGACACCAAGTGCGCCCCCTGCAACCCGGGCCTGGTCGGCAGAAGCCCCCGCCAAGGTGCGTCCCTTGGCCAGGACCGAAGGAACGGGTATCGCACAGGCAGCGTTTCTCCGAAGGACAAAGGTTAAGCTCACGCCCTCGGCGACCGCAGCTCCCACTGCCTGGGGCAACCCACCGAGCAGCCCCGGGTCCCGACCCAGCGGAGCGTTCAGAGGGTGGGGGAAGGGGGTCTGGCCACTGCGACTCCCGATCGCCCTTCCCCCGCCGCGCTCTTGAGAACCTGTTGATTAAGATCTCCACACCGAGCTGCGCCCGATCCGTCTTACCTCCGCTCCAAGGCGGCCTCAGATCCTCCCGACACCGCCGCTCCTAAACACTGCAGAAGCGACAGCCCTCCACTGACTCTTAAAATGCCAGATAAAGAATCCAGAAACTCTCGATTCCCCACCTCACAATCCTAACTCCCCGCCCCTGCCCCGCCGCCAGCCTCCTCCGTCGCCGCTGTCGCCGCCGCCGCCAGCTACTCCACCTCGAGACCGCGCGAGACCGGCCCCCGCGGCTTCCGCGAGACCGCGCACGCGCACGCGCCCCGGGGACTCGCCTATCCCAGTCCCTCCCCAGCGCGCCCCGCCTGCTGCTAGACTGAGAGGTTGGCGCCGTTCGTCCAATCCTGAGACGGCGGGGAGAGAGTGCCCGCTCATTGGTCTTCTCTGCAGCTTCCCAGAGGCCGGTCGCGCGCATTCACGCACCTCTCAGCATGAAATGCGAACTGCTTCGTGCTTGCAGGCACAAGGCAGTTGCTTTGGGTTTGTGCCCCCTGACTAGACTACATACCGTGTGTGGGGACTGAAGTGTTCCTGAGGCTGGCTAACATTATACAACCCTTGGCTCTTCTTTCTCTAGATGATCGTCATCTACTGAAGAAAAATCTGATTCCTCTCCGAGGAGACTCCTTGTTCTGTAAAGCACGTCACATAATCTAACATTTATTTGAAAAATAAGCCATGACATGATTAAAAACTTGCTGTGTACCCCTCAGAATGATTCTCTACAGAAGACTCCAAAAAGCTATCAGCTGGGACTCAATTCTGAAAACCAGAAAGAATGAATATCTAGGGCCAAATTTTGCATTTGGAATGGATTTAGAGTTACCGAGGAGATGGGGTAGCATAGTGCCTAAGGCATTTGACTGCTAACCAGAAGGCTAGTGGTTCAAACCCACCAGCCATTCCTCGGAAGGTAGGTTGGGCAATCTACTTCTGTAGTGTTATCGCCTCAGAGACTCAAGGAGGGGTCGCTATGCAGTGTGTAGGCCAACCCAACCCTGGTGAGGATGTGGTTAAAGGGCTCGGCTGCTAACTAAAAAGTCTGCAATTGGAACCCACCACCCACTGCAGGAGAAAGATGTGGCAGTCTGCTTCCATAAAGATTATGGCCTTGGCTACCAGTGTCAACCACTCAGAAAGCGATGTGCATGCGATCCTGGATAGAGTGCGAGAACAATGTGGAACAAAACTCAAAATCATAATAAAAAGAGACCAGATTTACCGTCTGATAGTCCCTGGTGAGACCCCCCCCCCCAGACTATGACCCCTAGTTACCTTTCAGGCCTGCAATTGAACCCACTCTGGTAGCTTCCAGCCTAATAATAGGCATATGGGGTGAACATTTACATCAGATAGATATACTCCTTAGAAAGATCAATTACAGGAGAACAGAATGGCAGTATCTGCACAGGGAGATAGTTCAGGGGGCAGGAATGCATAGGAAAGAAGGACACAGAGAAGAGGTAACCACAGGGAGGAAGTGGGAAGAGGGCTGTTGCATTGTGGGGAATTGCAGTCAATGTCAGAGCAAAATGTATATGAACTGCTGTATGGAAAATGAATTTGTACTGTAAACTTTCACCCAAATCACAATCAAAATTTTAAAAAAAATGCTGACATGAAGAGGTGATAGGCAATAGGTAGAGCCAGGAATTGACAACAAAGAAAAGAAAAAAATTACAGCCTTGGACACCCTGAGAGGCAGTTCTACTCTGCCCTTTAGGATTGCTAGGATTTGGAAACAACTTGACTGGAAGTGGGGTTTTGTTTTGCTGAGTTGTTTTTTTTTTTTTTTTTTTTTTTTTTTGATGGGGGAGGGCATGGCTGGCTAGGCCAACTGGGCAACTAATGGAATACAAAAGAATTGATGCTTTACAGGGAGGAAGTGGGAAGAGCGCTGTTACATTACGGGGAATTGCTGTCCGTGTCACGAAACAAAATGTGTATGAACTGCTGTGTGGAAAATGATTTTGTTCTGTAAACTTTCACCCAAATCATAGTACAAAATTAAAAAAAAAAAAAAGGAAGAATTGATACCTTTGAATTATAGTGTAAGCAAAGAATATTGAATGCACTGTGGACTACCAGAACAATGAATAAATCTGTCTTGGGAGAAGTACAGCCAGAATGCTCCTTAGAAGTAAGGATGAATACTTCTTCTCGTATACTTTGGGCTTGTAATCAGGTGGGACTAGTCTCTGGAGAAGCACATGATGATTGGTAAAATGGAGGGTCAGGGAAAATGAGGAAACCCTTCAACAAGATGTGTTGACAGAGTGGCTGCGATAATGGGCTCAAACATAGCAATGATTGTGAGGATGGTGCAGGACCAGGCAGTGTTTCATTCTGTTAGATAGAGTCGCTGTGAGTTGGAACTGACTTAACAGCACCAGACAGCAACAGGCCAACACATAGCCAATGCAAGCCTGGTCCTCTCAGGATCTATTTATGCTCCATTCCGAATAGGGCAGGATTCTAGGAGATGCTAAGAAAGTGAGTTCCGTAGAGCAAGGAATTAAAAGCAGATAGAAATGCCTTCTAACTATTTCAATCAAAAATTCTATAGAAGCAGCCTGATCAAATGGAAAATGCAGAACAGAATTTCAAATTCCCATGGACTCCAGACTTAATAAAGCCATGAAGTTTAGATAAACCCCTGAAATCACTGCCCTAGCATAATCTTTAAACCTTAAACCAAAAATATTCTCTAAAATCTTCTTAAAAACTAATGATAGTTCAGATTAACTTGGAAAAAATGTGTGCCTTGAGCATTATGCTCTTTTAACAGCTATCTATATGAGATAAAAAAGGAGCTCTGGTAGCACAGTGCCTAAGGCATCTGACTGCTAACCAGAAGGTTGGTGGTTCAAACCCACCAGCCATGCCATGGAAGCATGACTGGGCAATCTACTTCTGTGGAGATTTACTGCCTTGGAAACGCAATGAGGGTTGCTACAAATTGGAATTGACTCGATAGCAGTGTGTTTGATTTTGGTATATGGGATAAAATTGACAACAGCAACTCAAAAGATTTGATAGGAGCCTTAAGGGGAAGAGAATTTATGTTAATGGGGGAGGAAAACTCAGAAAAGGAGGGCGAAGATGGTTGCACAGCTTGAAGAGTGTGATCACTGTTACAGGATGGTGCGTGTTTACAGGATGGTGTATGTTATGCTGTGTGTATACTTAGCAACAACAAAATAAACAAAATTAAAAAACAAAAAGGAAAGAAATTCATTCTAACTTGAATATCAGCAGATTTGCCTCAACCCTCACAACAAAAGCCATAGTATGAGTTCTGCTTTGACAGTAAGCAAGAACTCTTCCTTCCAAGTCATTACCTTTCCACTTTTAAAACAGTTCCAATGTCTATTAATCAACTTTTCTTTTTATTAGGCTGAAATATGCTTTTCTGTCATTTCCGCCTATTGATTCTTGCTTCTGCCAGAGGCATGCTTATTACACATAGCCAGCTTTTCCTCGGAGCTCTTCTGATATGTCAATTATCGTGTCCTTCCTCTTTTCCTCTCATTATGTTTTCCTATCTTCAGTCTCAATAGCTTCAGGTCTGTAGTTTCTAATTCTTCCACCTTCTTCTCCCCTAATTCTCCTCTGAACATCCTATGGGTGAACTGTGATGCCCTCAACTGAGCATATTACTGTTCCCAGTGGTTGAGATCTTTTTGTATCCCTACCCTTCCTGCAGGAGCTCTGGTAACATAGTGCCTAAGGCATTTGACTGCTAACCAGAAGACTGGAGGTTCAAACCCACCAGCCACTCCTC